AAAAAAAAATCTTATTTCTAAAATAAAGGATAGAAATAATATTACAAAGTGAGATTATCTATTTCTATCAAGGATGTGTTAAAGAAGAATTCAAGAAGAGAAGGAATTGAAGGTAAGTTCATTGATTTCAATGATTTTTTTTTTTCAAAAATTGGTTTTTATTTTTATTTTTTTTTCAATATTAACTACTCCGTATTAAATCTACTCTTTGCTTTTAGTTTATAAAAAATGTTTTTTTTATGAGGAAACTTATTCCTTTTAATTATCTAATTTTTATTTTATAACTATAAGTTTCTAATGTGAAGGATCCCTACTTTGGGCAATCACAGAGCATACTTCTCATAGTTTTTAAAAAATATTTTAGTTTGTTTATGAAGAAAATTAAAATAAATATACCTTCTGAGAAGAACAAGGATTCTGGGATTTTGAGCAAATTCGTGCTGATAACGTGTTATAAAATTAGAGAAAAACTACTCAGAGATTAAGATAATAGATATAATATATTTCTGATTTCTTCTCTCTATTAACTCTTCACTCTTCTCTTATTCTTAATTGTGATTACAATGCAGGGATTAAGCCTCTATTTATAGTGGAGAGGCTTGGTATGAATACAAATACAAGTGGGAAGTACTGTACATAATTGATACTCATCAATGGTTGTCTTAATCTACTATTCTAGAAAATAGGCCTGATTAATTGAATAAATGAACAATCATTATTTTCATAACACTTTTATATTTTTTCTTGATTTGATATTATTGGATTTGATCTGGTCTGATCTAATCTGACTGGATCTGGTCTGATCTGATTGGTTCTGATCTGATCTGATTGTATCTGATCTGATCTGATTGGATCTGATCTGATCTGATTGGATCTGATCTGATCTGATCTGATTGGATCTGATCTGATCTGATTGAGTCTCATCTGATCTGATTGGATCTGATCTAATCTGATTAGGTCTGGTCTGGTCTGATCTGATCTGATTTTAATAAGAATAAGTAATAAGTAGAAAAAATAAGTCCTACGGAACGGACCCTTAGTCTGCACAAAGAGTCTTTTTATACAGGCCCCAAGTCAACAACACCAGGTTCCAAATAATCTCTAGTTCCTTAGAAGTATGAGCTCCGACATTATTGGGTAGCGAGATGGCAGCAACACAATGGAGCTAGAGGAACCCCCCCCCCCCCACCACCAAACTTGTCATGTGTTTACAGAAGGGAAAGAGGATCATGAACATGAAAGACACCAAAAGAACAACAGATAGCACTCAACATTGGTCAAAGTTATGAAATCATGATCTAAATCCATAATGAGCATATTTATAGAAGTCAAATAACTACCAATCCTAGAATTTAGGCATACTATAATACTACCACGTAGTGCCTAAGTAGCAACTACTCCTAGAATTTAGTCCAACTTTCAAAGTAATTGCTACTTAGTAACTAACATATATTCTCTCTATTCTAGTATGAACAGATACTACCTTGTAATAGAGTCAATAGCATTCAAAAAAAAAATATATTCTCTCTATTCTAATTTAAATTGCTCGTTCCGGTTTACGATGTTTGAATGAAATTATTTTAAATTCATTTTATATAAAAATCATTGTGAAATTAAAAAAATTATATATTTAAAAAATATATCTAAAGTTCAATGAAACAAGAAGTGACATGACTATATTATTTTATCAAATTAGTACTGGAAATGGGTAACGAAAAAGTTTAAACTTTGACCAAATGTATAGTGAACAAACTACTTTAATTGGGACGGAGAGTATAAAACAAAGCATTTGACCCGATAAAATGCACTATAAATATTACTCACTCTGTTTTTAAAAATACTTTCTATTTTATTTTTACGTGCAAAACATTATGTTTTAAAAAATTTTTATTTATAGACTATATCAAAAGTTCAACAAAAAAGATAGAGACAAAAATAGTTTATTTTGTCAAATGACTATGAAAAAAATACACAAATAGGAGTTATTGGGATGCTATGAATAGTACACAAATGATTTTTAAAAATGGAGAAAGTAATAACATAAAATGACTGCATATATGATGCTGACAAGATCTTTTGTGATCTTTGGCTCAATGCTCATTTTATGGATTTTCCCACATAATACGTAGTACTTCCTTCGTTCTAATTTATAGTGTCTATTCACTATTCACTATTTACAGAGTCTAATTCATTCACTTTTTTTAATCTATTTTCGTTAGCAAATTGATAAAATAAAGTATTATTGTCACTACTAGTTTTGTAGATCTTTTTATGTAGTATTTTAATATATAATTTTTTTTAACTTTATACCATTTGTCATATAAAACGATTTGAAAATAATTTCAGTCAAACATATAATTTCCGGACCGGCCAGAACCGGACCGGAACTGACCCGTGTCCAGCCCAATTCTTACCCGGTAAAAGTTTTTTTAAAAAAAAGCAGTGCTACAAAGCCTACATATATTTAGGGGTGTTCAATCGGATCGATCCGATCCGATCCGAAAATTCGGATTTCCGAAAAATTCGGATCATGTAAAACTCATTCCATATCCGATCCGAAAATATTCGGATATCTGATTTTTCGGATTGGATCACTGGATTATCCGAAAAGTTGAGTTTTTAGCCAAAATTTACAAAAAAAGGGTAAAATAGTAAAATCAACCCAAAATATCAAATTCAATATAGATTTACTAAAAAAATTCCACCACTAGGTAATGGCCTAATAAAAAATGATGCCAAATTTAATTTGGGAGTAACTTTGGTAATTTTGTCTAAACAAACAAAAAAACACTATTAAAACAAAAGATTCTAAAATGCTAATGCAAAAAGTCCAAAATGGTTGAGTTCCAAAATCAACATAAAATTATATTTAAACATATAGTCATAATATATAAATCCATAAAATTCCAAAAACATATAGCAAAAAAAAAATCGGATATCCGAATATCCGAAAATTTCTAGAAATTGAATCCATATCCGATCCGATTTTTCTCGAGTATCCGATCCGAAATATCCGAAAGCTAAAATATCGGATCGGATATCCTCTCCGTCACTAAATATTTGCAACGTTTGCTTTTTCGGCGTTGCGGGAATTTTTGTTTATTTCTACGTTTTCATTGGTTATTTGATAAAATAAAATATTCTTGACACCTCTTATTTCGAAGAACTTTTCATGTAGTTTTTTGATATATAAATTTTATTTTTTATTTCTATACCAATAAGTAAATAAAACGAATTGAAACAACTTGATATTTTGCTTCAAAAATACAAATGTGGCTACCAGATTAGTTTTTAAATTAAAGCAACATAGGTTCGAACTTTGTATTTTTCAGGACTGGCTCCGGATAAGAAATGATTATCATCATTATTCAAATTCGAAATTCGAAATGTTGGGCGAGCGTCCTCTCTCAATGGGCCCCGCACTTTGGGCCCAGTCCAACAAGCCGTTTCAGTTTCCGAATACCATGATTTCCAGTAGTACATCGTCACTCACATTTCCCGCCCAATCGCCAGCTGGCACTCCTCAAACTCGGCTAACTGCACTCGCTCCCCATATATCCTCTCATTACGCCCCCCACAACCTTCGGTTCATTTCTCTGCCTTTTGCAGTTAATCATCTCTCTCTCTCGAGAACCTTCTGAGATCTTTCCATGGAAGAGGTTACCAATGAACAGTCATCTGCTTCCGGTAACCGTTTTGATTCTTCAATTCGCTTCTGTATCTTGCGTGAATCAGTGGTTTTGCTTGTGCATTAGCGCGAGTATAACGGTTAGGGTTTTTGTTTTTTGTTTTTTTCTTGCAGCCGGCGCTAAGCGATCGTCCTCCAGGCTGCTTAGGTATCCGCTGAGATCCGCTGGAAAGGCCAAAGAGGAAAAGCCTCAATCAGCCGGTTCATCCAGCCTGCATGCCCCCAGAAGGTTCATCTATGTTTTCGTTGAATTTGTGCTTGTGCTACGATTTTATACAGTTCAGCGCAGAAGGATCTCACTATGATATTTGCATGTTTACCACTGATAACTGTAATTTTGATCCGGGTTTGAACCCATTCGATCTCATGCTCTGATGATCTTAATTCGGTTTTTATTTTGCTTTTGTGTTAGTGTTTACGGAGTACTTTATTCTATTTTTCTACCTCCATGGCTGTGAAAATTAAACACATAAACAGGAACACTAAATTGGTACGCTAAATTTCACATCCATGTTTGATTTGTTCACACGCTTGACCATTTTTAAGAATTCAATGATTGGATCAGTTTGATTGGGAAGTTTTAGCTCCTCTCGTGTTTTTGGTTGGTTTTTGGTCTTGGGTCAAATAGACTAATGTTTGACGGACTGTTTCAGATGAACATACGAACCAATCTAACCCAAGCAGTAGTGAATTGGAGTCTGTGTACCAAAGCTTGATTTGTGAGTATAATAATTACTTAATAATCTGAACACGTGTCTGTTTTTTTTAACTATAATTTCTTAGGGGAAAGGCTTCCCCATCGGATAGCAAGAGTGTGAGTGTCCTTGATCTCAACAATGGCTGCAAGGACAAACCTGCAAAGCCTCCAAGAAGAATGTCTATTCCCTCCAAGTCAACTGCTAGTCCTGCTTCTTCAGTCCAAGTGGGAAACATTACTCCAATTTCTGAGGCTGTTAGATCAAAAAGGTCTAATGCTCGTAGTAATGAAGGGAGAAGTGATACCCCACTCTCCGATGTTTCCAGGTCTTTAACCAGAAGGAAGTTCAGTGTTTTATCTTCGGCATCATACTGGCTAACTCAGATCAAGCTTTCTGAATCTGCTGCAAAACACTCCATTTCCCTTGGTTTATTCAAACTTGGTTTGGAAGCCAGATGTGAGGTATGTAAAAATCATTATGACTTTGTTTATAAACCCTGAACTTCAAGTGATCTATTTTATCTGGAAATGGTAATGGATATGTCTTATAGTCTACTTTTCCAACTGAGTCTTGATTCTAGTTAGGCACACTTTAATTATTAGAGTTAATACCCAATATGCTCGTTTTGTGACAATTTTTAACAGTCTATATTTGGACATGTACTATGAAAATTGCATTCAATTTAGTACTCGCACATATTTTGGTCTAGAAAAGAAGAATGTGTTCATAAAAAAGTCTAGAATTAAATTGAACCATCACCTAGATTTGAGTGATCAAATCAGGTATTTACTTGTTTTATACTTCTGCTCAGAAAAACTAGTTCTAATAATCAATGATGCACAAAGATTACAGACATCAAGGTGTGAGTGGGAGTGTATACTAACATTTTTTTCATATCACAAATATGTTGATCTCAGCCTCTTCAGCGAATGAGGGATGAGCTTAAAGCATATGCACAACGGCATAATCTTGTTGAAGTCGGAGAAGAGCCTGTGAAGCAATTGTTCGAATGCTATAACATCTTACCAGACTTTGAGCAATTGCAAGTATCTCAGACTTGTTCGCATGTGCCCGAGGAGGGAAACCAATCTGTGGATGATGAAATACACAGCTCCTCACCTGTGGTGGGCTCTGAGAAACTGGGGACGCCAAAACCGACCCCCTCCACTAAAGAGCCTGCTGAAGAGCAAGCAAAAAATGAACTAAAGTTGAAAAGTGATGCTCCCTCAACCAAGAAGCAGCCAATGCCAACCAAGAAAGAACCAGGCGTAGCCAATGGACGCAACAACGTGCAAAAGAAGAACCAAAAGCCTATTAAGAAAGAAGCTATTAAGGATGAGGTGAAATTGCAGGGAAAGAAGACTGTGAATGAAGAAGGTATCTTTTTTTTCTTTTCCCGTGCAGCATCTACCCTTTCCTTAAATCTTAATCTGAAATTTTATTTTGTATATTGTCTTCCCTTATGTAGAGCCAATTGAAGTTCCTGCTCCAGTGAAAGTGCATGAGGAGAACAAAGAAAACACGGTAATTCTTCCATTTTATTAACGAACTACTATGGATCTCTCTTTCAAGGTCTTAAAATATTGCTAAATATTCTGCCCGACAATGTTTTCCCACAGGATTCTCTTCAAGCAGAAGAGATTGGCTGCCGGGTTGAATAGTGGCAATGACTAATGGAATGTTTGTTCGGTCATTTTCCTTCGTCTTAGCTAACTCATATGAAAACCATACCTTGTGATCAGATTTGGTGTTTATTTACTTTGTGGCAAGTCTGGTTTGCTTTGTTACCCATTATGTTATATATACAGTTCTGTGCTTTTACAGAGTATGCCAAAACTTATACTCCCTATAATATCATCCTATATTTTTAAAATATTTGCTTAAGCTTTCTCTGAAAAGTGGAGTCTTTAGGTTGCAAGCCCTGTGAGGGAGATTACTGAAAGTGTTGTGTTTCGCCCGAGCTGTTAGGGCTTGAGAGTGAAGAACAATTATAGGAATTTGCCTGATCTTCTTCTAGTGGGTTACCACCTATGTCCTACAAAGAGCATCATTGAAAAAAAAACCTAAAGTAGGAGCAAAACAGAGACAAGGTACTAAAATATGAGTTTTATGTTTTTATTTATAAAATGTCACTTATAATGTTAATAATGTCAATATATAATAATGAATATCACTCTAGATTACCAAAGTAAATTACGGGGTATCAAGTAGCCATAGTCTTATTTTGGGACAAAAAGATAGACGTCCTATTTGGGGCATATAAGCTATGTGTTGTGTCTAAGCAAGATAGGTTATTTAGCATCATTAACTTTTTTGCGTCAATATTTTCACATTCTGACTAAAATTTATGAATAAATTGAATATCTTAAGCTCACATATCATTGTAATGTTGGGGCATATAAGCTATGTAATTTGTAATTATTCCGTATTAAATATCTTAAGCTCATATTTCATTGTAATGTTGAGCATGTATATTTGAAATGTGTATGAATATTCCATTAAATCGCACTACATAAAAAATTTATATGCCTTTAGTTGCGAGCGCTAAACAAATTTGAAGAGACATATATTGGAGAGCAGATCATTAGTAACCACTCCTTAATTTGTAGTGTGTTCTTGTAGTTGTTTTGTTGTGCTTCTGACTTGGGTTACTTTTATGGCATTCATTTTTATCATACTCCTTTTTTTTGTTTGTGTGACTGAATTAATGAAGTTTTGCCTATCTATCAGCCCATGTTTCAAAAGAAAAATGAAGGTATACATCATTCACCTAATCACCTCATCGAAATTCACATCCCCTTATTTTCCCATTTCTTATTTTCTATATTAAATTTTCATACTCTATATTTGACCCAATGATATTTTGAGAGAAAAAAATTATATTCTCCCTATTTCAGGATATAATATAAAAAACACTCTATCTTTAAAAGAGTTAAATTTTAAACACTTATAATTAAGTAGAATTTTTCTTCACACTATTGATATGTTTGGTTTAAAGGTAAATATTCTTTTAAAAATTTCAATTACACTTTTCTATGCTTGATAACAGTAGGAAATTATTTTTGAGAATTTTTTTCTCAAAGAGAAAAAATGATTTCCATTATTTTTGTATGGAATCTCATTTTCCTACTCACTTCTCGAGTCCCTTAATTGTACCAAAAAAATACAAAAAGAAAACAAAGAACTCCCCTGCTCTCGCCCAACCCAAGTCCCCGCCCTCCTACTCCCCCCTGCCCAATTCAATAACAAATATATCATCCCTTACTAAGCCAATTGTGTATCAATATAGAATTTTTCTTTCAAATAAATAATGAAAACTAAGCTTTTGGATTTTTTTTACCAAACAATAGTAAATGGGAGGGGAAAATATTTTTTCTTAAAAATCATTTTTCCTACTCATTTCTCGAGTCTGCTAATTGTAAAAACAAAACAAAGGACTCCCCGCCCCCTACTCCCCCTGCCCCATTCAATAATGAGAATATCCTCCCTTACTAAGCCAACTATGTATCAATATAAAATTTTTCTTTCAAAAAATAATGAAAAATAATCTTTTGGAATCCCCCTCCCCAAAGAACATACAATAGAAGGGAAAATAATATAAATTGAAAATCAATTTTTCCAAAAAAAAAGTTTTCAAAGAAAATACTTTCCACCCAACTAGAATGTGTTCCATTTGCTTGATCGGATCTGATATTTTGAAGATTTGGTCTGTTCTGACCTGCTTGGATCTGATAAGATAGGATCTGGTTTAATCTGGTCTGATTGTAGTTACATTTAAAGCTGCTTTTGATATGCTTTGATCTGATCTGATTAGATTTGATCTAGTCTGATTTTAATAAGAATGTGCAATCAAGACAAAAAAAAATAAGTGGAACAAAATGGAACTTAAATGGTTCGTATGTCAAGATGTATTTTTTGAGTAATTAAATGTTACATTCACCCACTCACACCAAGACTCTTTTGATTTTTCTTGAAGTATTCTTAGGTAAAAACATTCTTTTTTCACTTTATGCATGTTGAAAAATATATAGCAAACGCATGCACTGAGTCAAATGAGTTTTATTTTACTACCTTTGTCTTAGATTGAATGTCATTGTTTAAACAATGTGCAAAATTTTATAATGTTTAAAATTAATTTAAGTAAAAATTGGTATAGAGGAGGAAGAAACTTATGAATTGTGAGTCACTCACGAACAACATTAGTGCGTAAGACGGCTATCTTCATGTTGTTCCCTGATTGGGACCAATTTTTTTAATGAATATATATAACTTTTTAATCACATTATAATATGACTTACCGGATTATTTCTAACCAACTAAGATGGATACAATGCATTTAAAGAGTATCTAAGAGTTTCCATCTGGATACCCATTTGGAAAATACCCATTTGTTTTCATTCAAATATGGATTAACCCAAGAGTATATAATTCATGTAGATGGATACAATGCATATATAAGTGGATACTCAATAAGTATCCATCAAGATGGATTGAGTGCATTTAAAGAGTACCTAAGAGTATAACTTATATTACTCTTATAATGGATACTCATTAAAATATGGTACCTAAATGAGTTGGCTAAACTTGGAACACAGGGAATTTTATTTGGACAGAGGCTAAACTTGGATCAGAAGCTATATATTTTTGAACAGAGCCTAAACTTGGAAGGGAGCCGATATATTTTGAATTGAAACAAACAAAATATTGGTTAAAGAAAGACACTTATCATCGGTTCAATATATAGACAAAAACATTGGTTGAAAAAATATGAAATATATAAAAACTTGGAACAGAGGCTAAACTTGTATAAATATTTAACATATGATATATATATACTTACGTGTTCGTCAAGGAACACGATCTCTATTGAGTTTGTTGCCTTGTTATCGTTGAAGGTAGGCAACGTATTCAACCGCATCACACGAATACAAATCCTCCAACCCTCACTTGTCGGATTGAAAGACATGACGATTCAGTAAACAAAAAACAATTCATTTATAGTTTTCTTTCCAAGGTAACAATTTTGAATCGAGAAGAACACAATTGATTTATAATTTTCTTTTAATTCAACTATTATTACGTGGCTCGTTAACATGTTCAAATTTTGTCAAATAGGCATGCCAAATGTCGCATTTCTGTGCATCCGAGTCTCCTTTATTATATTAAAGGATTGTGCATTTGTGCACATTTATTTGATCCTATGGGGCCATTTGTTTTTAAGAAAACCCCAAAAAGGAGTAAAACATATGTTATATTCTCAAAATAAGAGCTTAAATTTAAACTCCCCTAAATAGTACTGTAGTAATTAAATAATTTAGGAGCGTGTATTGAATTTAGAGTTTCAAGGATTTTTATGGATTGTAAAACTCTATGGGTATTCAATTTAGATTTTAAAAAATTATTTAAAATCTGAATGTATTTAATTTAGATTTTAAAAAGTCATTTAAAATTTGAATGTATTGAATTTGGATTTTAATAAATCAATCTAAATCTAATGATATTCAACATTTCATGAATTTTTAAAGATTTGTATTCTACATGGATTTTAATGAATGTGAAGGTAAATATCATAACAAAACATCTCTGAACAAATCCATACACCCCACCAAAGATTTCCGAAGATTTAAGAATCTGATTCTCTCCTCTCTTTTGTGGGCATCTTCTCTTTGGTCTCAGATCTCTTCTCCAAGTTGGGAATGAGTCATGGCGTTCCTCCATCGCCTCTGGACGGCGACGCGTAGACCACCAATGGCGTTCCTCCACCGCCTCTGGGCCTCCTCTGACGGATACTTCGCCGGCAAATCGAATTCCTGCAGTAAACTCTCCATTCTCGGTGTCGGTTTCGGGAGCGACAATCACGAACTGAACGGCGATGCGTAGATCGACCACCAATGGCCGAGGGGAGGGTTTATACGGACTTTGGAAGGACATTTTGGAAGAAATTAGAGACGCTGGTTTGGAGAGACGTAAACGACTGCCTCATCTCTCCCCTCTTTCATCAAAAGTCATTTTCTTTTATCCTCCATCACATAGTCCGTCCGTCCATTCTCCAGTGAATAGTGTTTGGATTGTCTGTAAACTCTACATAAACTTTAAAAATTATGCAAACTCTACCTAGATTCTACAAAAAATACACCAAACTCTACCTGGATTTTACAAACTTTTCAAATCCACTAACTTTTTAAAATATATAAAAATCCAATAAAATCCTAATTGAATACACCCCTTTAAATTTAGGCTGAGATTTTCTCTCTCTAACAGAGGGGTTGTGTTCTTCGCAATTCCGGTCGGCTCCCTTAATTGCCATTACCCTTGAATTTGTGGTTTGTTTTTCTTGATTTTTAGCTCTTTTGGATCATCTTTAGTAGCTCTTTATGATTATGAGTTTTTCGCTGTTGATGTAGGGCTGAATCGAGGTCAATTGAAGTTGATATCCCTCGAAATCACTATTCATCCTGATACTTTGTAGGTATGCTTTTGCTGGATTTTTTGCCAAATTGAAGCCTAATTCTTGAGGGATTGTGAGCGGCTAGCTTAGACCATTGAGATTCTTAAGTTTGTTGATCATTCCAAACCAATATTCTTGATTTTGGCCAAGATTGGGTTTTGGAGCACTGTTCACAGCGCGACTTGGAATTCTAATCTTGAGCAGGTTCTTGGTGTATCTCTTCTCTGTTTTTCTGGTGTTTCTTGGTAGAATTCAAGGAGTAATTAAATATTTTTTCATTCACAATAATTATAATATAATATTAAATATATAAAATATATTTAACACTCCTTTCACCCCTCTCCACCATTTCTCTTACCTCTGAGAGGTGATACTTCCATAGCCTTGTGTAAGTTTGAATTCAATTTCATATTCAATCTGACATAAGTGGTTACATTCCATTTGCAATCTGAAAATTTACTTCTTATGAAATTATTTTGTAAAATCGGTACTAATTCTTTCAGGTGTGCTTAGGTTTGAATTTAATTTCACATCAGTTGTGACATTTGTTTTTTACTTTGGATTTACTTTTTAGAAATTTTTTTATAAAACTGGTATTGAAATTGAATGATTATGGTGTTGGCAGATCATAGAGTTTCTTGACATTTAACTTTTTTGGACATTATGCATTAACAAGTTGATATGTAATATTATACATGAGCATATATGTCATTATACATTGTCTTGTGTGGCATTATACATTATCATGTTTGGCATTATCTAGATGAGCCGACTGTGAATAATAAGGTCTCTCCAGATGAGGTGGTGCACAACCAGCTACGAGTGATACAATGACATATTTGTTCTTAATCTGTGCAATATTCGGAATTTTGCTTCTCTTTGACATTATATAGTGGCATATTTGTACTTATTAGTGGCTATGTTTAGCATTATAGATTGTAATCTTTAATATTGTGGTATTGTTGCATTGTATAAAGAGCATTTTTTCTTGACAGTCATGATAAGACCATAATACTACATACGGCGACGATGGGAGATCCCGGTGGTGTTGGAAGCGAAGGAGGCGAGCTTGGTGATGTAGGAAATCATCGGCAACACTCGATTGCACGGTGCCAGGCACGAGGTAGGTCATGAGTAAATGCAGGTGGTGTTGGCGGCGACGGTGGCAGTTTTGGTGATGTGAGAAGACACTAACGATTATATATTGCATGCGTGGGGGGGGGGGTGTGTGTGGAGGCAGTTCTTGGTGGCAGTGATGGTGGGTCGGTGGCGATAGTGACCGTTGCACATTTTTATGCTAGATTGTTGGTTGACAAGCATAAAACAACCTTCCGTCACCATCTTTACTTGTGACAACTTAAACACAAGAATATTGCTAAAAATTGAGTGAGAGATCAACATGAAAGGAGTACATGAGAAGATTAATTAGATTTTTTTTAGTTTATTAAATTTATTTCGATTCATTGGTGGGATTACTATTTACTGCATGTAGCATGAATGTTTGAAAGATGGACTTTCTCTAACAAATTAAATTAATTGTGTGTGTGTGTGTATATATATATATATATATGTACAAATATATTTATAACTAAAAAATATTTCAAAAAAAATGGAAGAAGAAGAAAGTGTATACATTACTGCTATGTCTATTATGAGAAGTTACAAAATCTAGAAGTATTATTGAAGTGTTGTCTACAATCTTTTGGCTTCAATCAGCAAAAGGCTCGCAACCTTCTCCCCTAGATTTCCTCCTTCTTTGTGTTTCTTTTTTTAACTGTTGGAAAAGCTAATTAATTAGATTAATTAAGTTAATTACTCCTATTTAGGGGATTTTAAGTTTCAAATCTTATTCTGAGGATATGGTATGTGTTTTACTCATAGAAGACCCTTTTATGTTATGGACCGGCCCTACTTACAATCCAACGCCCTCACTCCACCTGTTGTGCTTCCTTCCCTGCCTGAATCTGTGCATATCCCCGTTGTATCTCCGCCAGAGGGAGGGGGGGGGGAGGCTTTTGACATCATATCCAGTCATCCATACGCCGACTGGTTAGCCGTGCGATTTCTCACAAGGTTTGTTGTGCACATGGTTCATTGGGCTTTCATCTTTAGCAGCAATAGGGCAATGGCGAATAGGTTTACTGCATAATTGCATCTGAAACTTTTTTTCCTTCTTGTTTGCAGTTGATATAATTCCCGAATCGCTATGATTTACCCTGCAGTTGACACATTTTACCTAACGAATGAGCAGCTCAAGAACTCTCCTTCTAGGAGAGATGGAATAGATGACGCCACTGAAACTACTCTTCAAATCTATGGGTGTAATTTTATCCAAGAGAGTGGAATTTTATTGAAACTGTATCCTTTATTTGTAATTGCATTTTTTTCAGCAATACTCATGTATCCCCAAGTAAGTCATTTGTAAATATGGTTTCTTTCCACCAGTATATGGCTATTGTATCTCCTTAATATGGTTATGTGCAGACCTCAAGCTGTTTTGGCCACTGGTCAGGTACTATTCCACTGCTTTTACTGCAAGAAATCATATGCTCATTACAACGTGAAGGTATATCTCTTTCCTTTTTCCTCTACCCAAAAATGAAAGCATACAATTAGTAGTGCAATGATATAAGTTTCATAATTTGTGATCTTCAGCTCTACATGCTGACATGGTGTTGCTTTTCATACAGAGGGTTGCTGCAAGCTGTGTGTGGCCTGCCTCAAAACTTGAAGAGTGTCCTAGAAAAGCCAGACAGGTCCTCACTATTTTCCACAGATTGGAATGCTGGAAGGAGAATTTACCATAGAGCATTTTGATACCATTTCAAAGGTTAGATTTTGAATAGTCCATTCATCTATTTTTACCATTTAAAGGGTAGACACTTATCTTAGCAGAGTAATGTATATTGGCTTTTTTTAGTATTTATTTTGCTTTGCAGAGTTCAGGTTTTTGTATATGTTTGAATTATTGGATGTTGATCCCTTTTTACTGCTATATTTCTCCGTGTCCATCACTTGATTAATGAACCCACATTTGACAGAAGATTGAAATTACAAAAAGATTGAAGATGTTTGTTATTAGTTTCATTCTTGTTTATATACGGAGTATTTTCATCTGAAAGCTAGTTGGTTGTTTTATATTGAAACCTTTTGTTCATTCTTTGCGCAGAAATATGCTGAACTGAAGGCAGAGTTGGTCCGTACAAAAAGGCATCTTCTAAGAGATGGGTTTTGTGTGCCATGTTGAACAACCTCATAAATTTATATCAAAATATATTGCAGCTCTTGGAGTGCCTGATGAATTGAGACAGGAAGCATGAAATCTTGCAAATGACAGGTATTTTTCAAGCAAGAAGATCTCTTTGCCTGACATATATTAATGTCCTTTTATTTTACTTCAATACACCTGCTCTCTTTGAAATCCTACAGATCGCAGATATTCAAACAATAGTGTTCGTTATGAATAGCACAAAGTGACAAGATTAGTTCTTAGTTTAGTGTTTTATTAAAATATTTGATGTTAATGTCGAACTGCTGGAAGTTAAAAGTCTATAAGTACTCCATGAGCTCTTTAACAGCAACAATAACAACAAACCCAGAAAAATCCTACAAAAAGTAGGGTATGAAGACATGGAGGGTGTGTGCACGCTGTCTGACCTTACCAGTTACCCCTACTCGGTAATAGAGAGGCTATATAAACAAATACACCCTAACTAGCTGTTGTGTGTGTGTGAAGTACACAAACTAAAAACTAAATGCATACACCCTAACTTTTGTGATTTATGTTGCGTTGTGAAGGCAAGCTTTCCAATCATCTTTAACAATTAGTGCACACCAAATTGTACCAATGGAGGGTTTTACGTACGACTAAGGTCCACCCCATTGATCAATGCGCTCTTCCGATTGCATTATTTTTCCAAATCAACCCCTACCACTTTAAGAATTTATTTTAATTTTAGTTTGTATTTTTGTGGGGGTTTGTCCTATAAATTGGCTTATACTAGTATATTTTATTGTAACACATTAGAAAGATGAATTCGAGTTGATAAAAGTATTGAGGGATTCTTTCCTCTGAAATTTGAGAGTTTCAATACTTTTGAGTTTTCCATAATTATCATATTATCAAGATTAAATATAATTATCTTGATGGTTAAGAAACACATTTTTTTTTGTTAATACGTTCAAATAACTTAAATTTTCCAAAGAAGCCAATCTTGTCATCGAGAATGACTCCTGACACCATACATAAATGAATGATAAAACATGTTTACATACACTATACAGGCACTCAAATCTAACTTCCAAAGTTCATGCACAGGACGCCATGGTGAAATAGTCCCATCCAATGTACTAATAAATATCATCTCAAACAATGACTTCCCCCATGAATACACGTGTTGGGTGATACGTGTATCATCAAATGAAATTCCATGGCGGTAAACAAAGCTTTTCATGCTGGAAAAGTATTAGTGGTGCAGTGAATCATATCAAGTGAATGATATCAGATCAGGCCATCAAATGCACCAAGTCACGATATCACTGATGGCCTGGTCACCCAGGCTTTTAGAATGATCACAACACGACATACTAAAATAAAATCATTCGTGGAGGCATGAAGCTCCACACACTGAAATGATAAATTAAGTAAGAATGCTCTGAGTGATACTCGGTCTCAGGGATACATGACCTAGGAAATAGGTGTTTCCATCTTTCTCTCAAAGCATATTGAGAGCACACAGTTCATCCAAAAGAAAGGAATGATCACACAATTGACTGATTGTGCAACCATTTTTAACATGGACTTAACCATCTCTAGTGTTTCACTGTTTCCACAGGCCTAGGGGTAAGGATGAATCTGAGTGACACGGACCACGTAGTGGAGGAATAGTATCCATTTGGTCCATGTGGGCAACTGCTTTATCCAAAAGTGGATGAAGTAGTGAAGAGTGTTGATAAAAGATAAGTGTCCATGGGTGTTGCTAAAAGATAGCTGATTGAGTGAATATTGTAATTTAGTTTCCCTTCCATGTATGATAAAAGATAGTTGATCAAGATGGTGGGTCCTAATCTTATACACAGTTTTAAAGGATATATTAAATAGGTCTGGCCATCCTCCGTCTCAGGATATGTTTAACAAGCTTTCAGTTGACCTTTCGTAATCTAATGCAGTGCATGACCCGTAGCAATAAAGCTTTGCATTATTCTAGCTTTCTTGTGTACGTCCCTTAACCTATGTGATCCCCCCACTATACGTTGGGCCGAATGTAATGACACTAACAAGTCGCTTACGTTTCTTCTTATTTTTTAGTTGTAGAGATCTCACAACTAACTTTTATATTTTCTTTGGTTTTATTCTGTTTTGGGTTGTTTCCAATCAGCACTTATAACTATTTAGCTTTGTTTTCATGATTCTTTTCTTTTTCCTCATGCTCTTCTTTTTCCCTCATAACTTGTCTTTCGTTTTGCTCACTTGTCATCATTTGTTCCTCAGTTTGCGCACAACATTGTTTGTTAGATTTAAGAGTGAGGTTGTGGCCTGTGGAGTTGTGTATACTGCAGCCCGTAGATTTCAAGTGCCATTGCCTGAGAACCCTCCATGGTGGAAAGCATTTGATGCAAACAAGGCTGGGATCGATGAAGTTTGTCGTGTTCTGGCCCATCTTTACAGCCTTCCAAAGGCACAATATATAGCTGTGTGCAAGGAAACTGGTTCGTTTTCAACATCAAATAGATCATGGGATTCACCCTCTCAGTCAGTGCCTAAGGTCAAAACTGTCCTCAATCCTTAAGTCCTTTAAACTTTGTACTTTCTCGTGTGATCCTTTTGCTATTAAGCTCAACTGGTTAGAGTTAAAACTCGTAATTTTCTTCTTTATGCAAATCCTTTCCCCATTTTTTACTTCTCATTGAAACTAAGTCAAGAATACAGTCAACCCCTGAATATTGAATTAATGCCCAGTTTTGATTGCCAGAATTCTCTTGTGGGATTTAACTGGGTTGTTGTTGTTGTTGTTGTTTTGATTGCCAGAATTATCTTTTTTATCACTATTTTTCCTATTTTCCTTTCTGTCACTTATTAGGAAGTTGCATCAAATGGCCCATCCGGGAATGATGACACCGGTGCTACTCCGAAGGGAGCTCCTGCGGCTGCAACAGGTCAGGAAGTGCGCAAAGATGTGGTGACAAGAGCTCCTCTTGAGAAGACAAAGAGCAGCGAAGAGTCTAAAAGCTCGTTTCCTGAAGGAGAAATAAGGGATGAGCCTGGGTCGAAATCAATAACTGTACGCAAGACAGAAGCAGGAACTGGTGAAAAGGATAAGAACAAAGATAGGGATAGAGAGAGGGAGAGGAAGAAGGAAATATCAAAGTCATGGGACCGCGATAGGGGAAGGGAAAGTGAGCGGGATGATATTGAAAGGGAAAAGGATAGAGCCAAAGGAAGGAGCTATCACTCAAGAGACAAAGGTAATATTACTTTGTTCCCCCTCCCAAAAAAAAAGAGACTTGTTTGTCGAATGTTTTAATTTTAGCGAGGTACGAAGAAGACCTATGATAATTGAAAACAATCAATTCTAGCTGTATTTTAAAATTTATATGATAGTTTAATTAAAGTTGACATACTTTATTTGAGAGACTTGGAAAAAAAGAAGTGGATGATTTTCCAATGCCAAGGGTCTCTTTATCAATTTTTGAATAATCCAAACTCAAAAAATGGGGCCTTTGTTTTTTGTTCTTCGTTCTCACATTCCCTAAAGGCTGATAATCATTCTTGTTTCCTAACTTCTAAGAGAAGGTATTCATGAAACTTCTAAAAAGATACATTAAATATAACTCCCTCCGTCCCGAATTTATTGTCTCACTTTATTTTTCTGTCAGCCCCAAAAAAGTTATCTCGCTTCTTTACATTCCTAATAAAGTAAAGAAAATATGTGGTGTATAATTTTTCTCTTTCTTCTAAACAAATTTCAACCACGTACCTTTTCAATACTTCTCTTAAAATCCGTGAAGTCAAACTAAGACAATAAATTCGGGACGGAGCAGGTATGTTAATTTAACTCTTCTGTGGAGATGAGAAATTTTCTTCTTTTTATTTCGGGACAAAAATAAATTATCAAATAGGGCTCCTTTATTTTGACAAATTACTATTTAAACTAGCTTGTGAATTTTCCACTGATAATATTTGCTAACTAAAACTTTGTGTGAATGATGCAGGGCGCCAGGAGAAGCCAAAACACCCCTCTTCTGGAGGTATAGATATGTTTAATAACAAAATGAAGTTACTTTTTTTCATGCAGATCGGGACTATCATAGTTCCTCTTATTCATCAAGGGAGAAAGAGCGCCAAAGACATCACTAATGCAGAGTCATGAACAATTAGCTCAGAGGTTTTCTTTCCTTCTTCTTCCTGGCTGTGCTATATACATAGGCTTGCTTGATTTAGTGGTGCTCACTCACCTGGCCTGTTTATTATCATCTGTGCATTTTGAAATTGACTAGTTCTGGCTAGCCTTGATATAGATGGTTAAAAAAACAAATGCCTGTGATATCTGTTGATTCATTGCTCATCAGGATTGTGTTGCATTGTTGCAATATCTTTTTTAGATTGAAAACATAGTTGTGTACAACAAACACCAACATCCGCTAGTCTATCTTCCATATTACCACCAACAACCCTATGTGTATATAATTTGGTGTACACTTAACATTTCCTATCCTTATACTCCCTTCGTCCACATTTAAAGTTCCCACTTTCCTTTTTGGTCCGTCCATAAAAAATGTTCCCATTTCCTTATTTGGCAAATTTTTAAAAGTAAAATGTCTAACATACCCTTTAATCTCTCTCAAATCTTTTCCTCTCCTGCCGATTTACCACCACACATCCCCCACCTTTTTTTCCTTATTCTCATTTCTTCTTCAACTTCCCTACCCAACCCCTTTTCTTTCTTCTTCGGTCTCTTCAACTTATTCTCTACCCAACCCCTTTTGCTTCTCCGGTTCTTTTTCTTCATTTTCTTGCTCTTCATTTCTCCATTTCCTTCAATTCTTCTTCTCTTTCTTCATTTCTTCTTGCCCTTCTTCCTGCCCATCACTAGCGTACAATTATCAAATTCTTCATTTTCTTCATCTTCTTTCTATTCTCAACTCGTTTTCTCTCGATCCGACGATCAAAAGGAGATTTGAGCAGTGAAGATCTTACCTTCTCCAAGATCTCAGTAGTGAAGATCTGATACCGATGAAGATCTGGGGATTGAGTTGCTTGACAGGGAGAGTGGCGATGAAGATATAAAGATGTATCGAGGTGGCCACGATGGAAGATACGGAAGATGAAAGGAACAATCTTGCTAGGTAGGGAAAGTGGAAGAAATGGAAGATGAAGGGACGGTAAAGCAGAATTGAAAACGCCTGGAGGAAGTGGGTGAGGATGGTTGGGGAAAGTGGGAGGGATATAATTGGAAAGTCAAGGTAAATTTCATCTTTTATTAAATTCTGTGCCGAGTCAAAGTGGGAACTTTAAATATGGACGGAGGGAGTATCAAACTACTTTTATTCTTTACTCCACCCATAACATTTCCATTCTTCAAAGAAAAAAACACAAAACTTTAATCCCCTCTTACATATCACATTTAAAACCTAAACTCTCCCTTCAATGTACATATTTAAGTAATTTCAAATAAATTCTCAGCTTTACAAAAAAAATATTCATTATGTCACTCTATTTTTGTAAAAAACAAAAATTTTGCAAAAAACAAAACTATGCAAACATGTCTACACATAAGTATAATAAACTTAAAATCATGCAACCCCTAACATCACTACGTTTTGCAGATAATGGATGATGACAAGCAACAACTTCACATCTCTTATAAATCAATCCTTTTCCACATCCTAAAACAATTACATCTACAAAAGGCGCATTACACCCATGAAACCAAAGAGAGAAATCAGCATTACTACACCACATAAGAGATCACAATGAAAGATGGAATAATTATCTCGATTATAGGCAGCAATGAGATGAAAAACGGTGCAGAACAAGATGCAGCTAAACAAGCAATAGTCCTTTTCAGAGATGCATTTGGATATACAATAACCGGACTCAATTTGTAGACAATAACTACAATTACACTCCAACAATTGCTTCCACAAATAATATTTACCCATTATCATTATAATCTCTCTTCATTCCATATTAAGCATTAAAAAAAATTTAGCATCTACCTATCTCTCTATGTATCTATTCAATTTTTTATTTTCATTACAAAATTCATAATATTAACCCATAGAAAAAACATCTAACAAAATACACAAACCTAAACATACAATGCCAGAACGAACATCTAAAATCATGACAAAAAATTAACTCTTCAACCAGCAGCATCAAATTGCAAACCCTCAAGGTACAATAATATCACTCTTCACATTCCACAAAACAAAAGGATACAATGTAGTATTCCAAAATCTTACATAACCAAAACATATACAACCCTTTAACACATGTCCAAGCGTAGCACTGAAAAAAATCAAATCATAAACCAAAATCTCCATTTCCAAGAATCATCTCAATAACATAATGACACCGAATCCTAATAACAAGCCCGTGTGTAGCACGGGGTAGAAAAGTAGTTATATTTAAAAACTACATCCAAACCTCTACAAAATAAGAGGTGATAAAAATATTTTATTTTATAAAATGATCAACGAAAACATGTAAATAAATAAGAGTAATCAAGAGACCATAATTTTAAATAAGAAAAACTTTTTAGGACGGAGGGAGTAGTTCTCAATCCGAACTCGAAGTAACCCGAATCTCAAGTGATCTAATCCAAAATGGACGTGCCAATCCATTTGCCAGCTCTAATGATTACCTCCGGTAGAATTAGTTTTGCATCATAGCAATAACACATGACCTTGAATACTTAAATCAAGACCACTAATCTGGCGGTTTCTGTTATAGAAAAGGAGGAGTTGGGTTTCTTACGGTTGGTTCAATATGAAATTCCTTCAAGTTCATCTGAATTCCTCGAAGCTCAGATCTCTACATTGATCGTTAACAATTTTCTCTCCTATAAGGTCAGTAGTATAAATTTGAAGTTCTCTTTCGTTATCTATATATCCTCTCTTCTCGCTCAGACGACTTAGCATTGCTGATTGCCCTCATAGGGTTTGTATTTTTTAATACTCGTGTGGTTTCTCGGACGCCAGTTATGAATCCGGAATACAATGATCCGACGCCGGTTATGGATCCGCAATACATTGACGTCCTAGAGTTGGACAAACTTGTCAATCGTGTTTATGGAACTGGATCTAATTCCGAGGTGATCTTTGAGTCATTGAAATGATTTTTCCACTGTTTTGTATACTTTTCCATAATGTTTATTTGGGAAATGAAATGTTTATTTGGGATTTGAATTCTTTTTGTTTTTATGTGATTTTGGAGATGGCTAATGCACATAATGTTTTGTGTGATCTACAAACTAATCCAATCATGTGGACTCGAGTTGATAAAATCCTATAAAATCCTATTGAACACAAAGAACTTAAATACCAAATTGTTTGCTTTACAAGTCAGTTTCAAAATACATGGTAACGTATACATGCATGCATAACTATTTAAGCAAATTTTATTCTTATTATATGTGCATTCTCTTGTCTTGATTTAATCGATTGAACTTAAAATTGTTAAAATTTTGCACACACATACATATGTGTTTTTATGTGTGTGCGTGAGTATGAACAGAGGACGTATATAGATTAGGAAAGATAATATTTTTATAGATAATTCGAACACATACGTATATACTAGGGTTACTTTATATAATTTTAGTTTGAATACCCTTGTAATGAGGCTAACATTTAAACGGGAACAAGAGAGGATTGCCAAGCTCGCAAGCATCACCAACAACCCAGTGTATGGCCAAAGCTTTTCCTCTGAAGTTGACCCAAATGATTATGTGGTTGACCTTGAGTTGTTAATCATATGCCTCAGCCCATCCACACCATTATAGTGTTGTCTACTCTATTGCATTATCTAGTAGTTGTGATAATCTTATTGACAGTTGATGAATTTAATAGAATAGTAGAAACAGAAACTGATAGTTGAATTTCCATGTCATTGAACTCTCATTATAGCTACTCGAAGCTTTCATTAAGAATAAATAGCATGTTCATACCCACGCACACACATAAAAACACACATGAATATGTACATATGTATGTGTGTGCAAAATTTTAACAATTTTAAGTTCAATTGATAAAATCAAGACAAGAGAATGCACATATCATAAGAATAAAATTTGCTTAAATAGTTATGCATGCATGTATACATTACCATGTATTTTGAAACTGACTTGTAAAGCAAACAATTTGGTATTCAAGTTCTTTGTGTTGAATAGGATTTTATCAACTCGAGTCCACATGATTGGATTAGTTTGTAGATCACACAAAACATTATGTGCATTAGCCATCTGCTAAATCACAAAAAAACAAAAAAAGTTCAAATCCCAAATAAACATTTCATTTCCCAAATAAACATTATGGAAAAGTATACAAAGCAGTGGATTAATCATTTCAATGACTCAAAGATCGCCTCGGAATTATATCCAGTTTCATAGATACGATTGACAAATTTGTCCAGCTCTGAGACGTCAATGTATTGCGGATCCATAACCGGCATCGGATCATTGTATTTCGGATTCATAACCGGCGTACGAGAAACCCTAGAAACCACGCAAGTATTAAAAAATAGAAACCCTATGAGGGCAATCTGCAATGCTAAGTCGTCCGAGCGAGAAGAGAGGATATATAGATAACGAAAGAGAGCTTCAAATTTATACTACTGACCTTATAAGAGTGAAATTGTTAACGATCAATGCAGAGATCTGAGCAAAAAGGAATTCAAATGAACTTGGAGGAATTTCATATTGAACCGACCATAAGAAACCCAAACCATCCCTTTCTATAATAGAAATCCCGCCAGATTAGTGGTCTTGATTTAAGTATTCAAGGTCATGTGTTATTGCTATGATGCAAAACGAATTCTACCGGAGGTAATCATTAGAGCTGGAAAATGGATGGGTACGTCCGTTTTGGATTCTATCACTTGAGATTCGGGTTACTTCGAGTTCGGATTGAGAACTACTCCCTCCGTCGTAATTTTTTTTTTCTTATTTACGATTACGGTCTCTCGATAACTCTTATTTATTTGCATGTTTTTATTGATCATTTTATAAAATAAAATATTCTTATCATCTGTTATTTTGTAGAGTTTTGTACGTAGTATTTAAATACAACTAGGTTTTTACCTCGTGCTACGCACAGGCTTGTTTTTAGGGCTCGGTGTCATAATGTTATTGAGATGATTATTGGAAATGGAGGGTTTGGTTTATGATTTGATTTTCTTCAGTGCTACGCTTGGACATGTGTTAAAGGGTTGTGTATGTTTTGGTTATGTAAAATTTTGGAACACTACATTGTATCTTTTTGTTTTGTGGAATGTGAAGAGTGATATTATTGTACCTTGAGGGTTTGCAATTTGACGTTGCTGGTTGAAGAGTTAATTTTTTGTCATGATTTTAGATGTTCGTTCTAGCATTGTATGTTTAGGTTTGTGTATTTTGTTAGAAGTGTTTTCTATGGGTTAATTTTATGAATTTTGTAATGAAATTAAAACATTGAATACATACATAGAGAGATAGGTAGACGCTAATTTTTTTTTAATGCTTAATATGGAATGAAGAGAGATTATAATGATAATGGGTAAAGATTATTTGTGGAAACAATTGTTGGAGTGTAATTGTAGTTATTGTCTACAAATCGAGTCTGGTTATTGTATATCCAAATGCATCTCTGAAAGGACTATTACTTGTTTAGCTTTATATTGTTCTGCACCGTTTTTCGTCTCATTGCTGCCTATAATCGAAATTATTATTCCATTTTTCATTGTGATCTCTTGTGTGGTGTAGTAATGTGCCTTTTGTAGATGTAATTGTCTTAGGATGTGGAAAAGGATTGATTTGTAAGACATGCAAAGTTGTTGCTTGTCATCATCCATTATCTGCAAAACGTAGTAATGTTAGGGGTTGCATGATTTTAAGTTTATTATACTTATGTGTAGACATGTTTGCGTAGTTTTGTTTTTTGTAATTTTTTTTCAAAAATAGAGTGACATAATGAATATTTTTTTTTGTAAAGCTGAAAATTTATTTGAAATTACTTAAATATGTATATTGAAAGGTGAGTTTAGGTTTTAAATGTGATATGTAAGAGGGGATTAAAGTTTTGTGTTTTTTTTCTTTGAAGAATGGAAATGTTATGGGTGGAGTAAAGAATAAAAGTAGTTTGATATAAGGATAGGAAATGTTATGTGTACACCAAATTATATACACCTAGGGTTGTTGGTGGTAATATGCAAGATAGACTTACCAGTTGATGTTGGTGTTTGTTGTCATAGTTGTGTTTTATTGATGTAAACAAATGGTAGTACAGTTAAAAGATATTGCGTTCTACTGAACAACCAGTAAAGAAGGTATATCTTACAAATGGCAAGTTCAAAAGTGGAGACACTTACCTGTTCTATGTAGGTTTCTAACCGTCGGATGTTGTCGATCCCCAAATCAAATTTTCATTCCTGTAGGGAACTCTTGGAATTTTTGGGATTTTCATAGGCATTAAATATACCAATTTTGGACATAATTGTCAATAAGTCTACTAACAATTTTAACCATTAATTAATGGATACGTGTTCTCTAAAAGGAGATAAATAAATATTTTGATATATTATACGCCAAAAATGGTAAAAGGGTGGATGAGAAATTATTTTCAAAATTGACCTGCTAAAATAGAAGAGTCTGGTTGATGCATGTACATGCATATTTTTATTGAACCAATCATCGATAACTTTTACACAATGTTTAAAATTAATCTATTTTTACGAAGTTAACTCGCCATTGATCTCTAATTATTTGAGACAAATTTTAGGAGCGTAGTGTAACGACTTGAACGTCGGAAACAATTTCGCTCATTTTTGAGAGAAAATTGAGAACAGAAGGATTTTGGGCGAAAAAGTGAAATTGATACTAAATGTGATGAATTGAATAGAGTATATGAAGAAATTTAGGAGTTTGGATGAAGAATTACCTTGGTTAATGGAGAAACCAACGTACGGGAGAGAGAGACCGCTGGGAGTTGCAGAAACGTAAGTGAGAGTGTTGGGTGAAAACTAGGATTTTAATAAGGTTGACCCGAAGAGACGGTCGGTACCTTGGTACCGTATAAACGACATAGGCTACCGTTACTAGCTACCGTGAAGGGTCTAAAACTCATTCTCCTCTGGCAGTATCTGTGTCCAAACGACACGTGGGTACGTTATGACGGTATGCCCTACCGTGAGGGCGGTATTGTGTACCGCCAAGGGTACCGTGGCTCATCCTCAAGTTCTTGTATCGACCTCTAGACGCGTGTTTTGAGCATTTCGACTTGATCAATTTATTTTTATTTTGTAATGGGGTAATAGGAACCTTAAATTTTACGGAGTACTTTAATTCAAGCATTCCCATTTCCCGAAAAATATGTAAAAATTGTTTTTCATCTAAGGGTTTTGTAAAAATGTCAGCAAGTTGTTCAAGTGTATTGACATATTCAATTTGAATATCTCCCTTTGCAATATGATAACATATGAAATGATGTCTTATTTCTATATGTTTAGTCCTAGAATGCAACATGAGATTTTTGGAAATATTTATTGCACTTGATTTGTCACAAAAGATAGTCACTTTTGAAAATTTTAAGTTAAAGTCACTAAGTGTTTGCATCATCCATAAAATTTGAGCAACACAACTACCCATAGCCACATACTCTGCTTAGGCGGTGGATAGGGATGGAGTGTTGTTTCTTAGATGACCAAGACACTAGTGCATGACCTATGAATTGACATGTGCCACTTGTGCTTTTCTGATCAATACGACACCCTCCAAAGTCGGCATCACTAAAACCTATCAAGCTTAAATTCGTATTCTTAGGATACCATAAACCCATATTGGTCGTTCCCTTGACATAACGAATTATTCGCTTGACGGCATTTAGATGTGATTCTTTAGGTGATGATTGGAAACGAGCACAAAGGCAAACGGAAAACATGATGTCGGGTCTAGATGCAGTTAAATAATGTAAACTACCAATCATACCTTGATATACCTTTTCATTTACGGGTTTTCCGCTTTCGTCGTTGTCAAGCTTTAAGGATGTGCTCATTGGAGTCAGGTGTGTCTTTGAGTCTTCAAGGTTGAACTTCTTGACCAATTCTTTGNAGTTGCTTGAT